TCCAAAACCTTGATAAGGTTTGACAATGCCCAAGCAGCTGTTCTCACAGTGGAACCTTTGTTTGGCAGCATCATTCTTGCAAGAGGTAGTAAGGCTCCTTGAGATAGCAAAACATTTCTCAACTCCTCTCCTTCACCAGCTACGTTTCCCAATGCCCACGCACACTGCTCAGCAACAGGGAGAGAACTTTTTTCTACAAATGAGGCAATTTTGACATACTTTTAGCTCATTAACATTTTTGTAGTCGAAAGATAATTATACTAAAATGTTGAAAGATTAGGCATTTTTGTTCAATTAATTGAGGCAGAATATCAAACATATCGTGGAGGTTATACATAAAAGTGTTTGCAAATTTACACTAAGTTTAGGAAGGGATTAATATCAAATTTTAATATGTGAAAACTAAAAAGTGATATTTCACAAAAGCCCAGTTTCATTTCTGGAAAATATTGTCTGAAAGAGGGTGCAATATTCTGTTTAGGAATAGATAAAAAAGAAGCAAAGTAGATTTCCTTTCATGATATGAGAAAGAATAGACCAGTCATCTCTGACCTCCAAGGTGAGCAACAAGCAAAGGTAATGCAGGCAACAGTGCTTTTGTTTCTTCTGGTTTTCCAGCTGCTATATTTGTAAGACACCAGGCTGCCTCAAGCAACTGTGGGATGATGGACAAAACAAGGAAGTCAAACTATTTTTGTTTGAATTCCTAGAATTATCACTTCAATTAAAACTCTAAATGTTCTGAAGAACACAAATCTATAGGATGCATGATTAACTTAGGTGAAAAGGATAAACACGTGTCACAAACTAGATGTTTATAGAGGGAAAAGAAACATTCCTAATGGTAAAGCAAAGAAGTCCAAAATAACTCCAATTCTTCAAACCTGTTCATCTGGAGAGCCAAATGAAAGACACTGCACAAGTAAGGGTATAGCTCCAGATTTAAGAGCAGCTTCAACAGGAGGAAACTCAGATCTTGACAATAAACGCCTCAGTTCACGAAGTGCTTTCACCCTCTTCTGCATTGCACCCTTTCCCCTAATTGTTTAATGAATACACAGTAAGCCAATTATAACTAAACACTGGGTAAAAATCATTATGCCCCTAGTCCCTAGCAATCACACAACCAACTAGAAGAAAACAGCTCCTAGGACAGGAGCCTCAATCAAGGAAAAAAAATTGATACCCAAAAAGCTTAAACCTAAGCATGCATACTGAGAAGGAACACCAAAAAATCCATAAACTTCAGTTCAATAAGAAACAAAACAACATCGAATGCTTAGTTACACACTTGCAATACCGATATACACTTTAAGATTCTATGAAAAGTTAAAAGACTGATCTTCACTCCTCATGACAAGTTAGCAATACTTCATTTCCACAGATCAAAAGAAAAAAAGAAAAAAATAAAATAAAGAGCAGTACTTCATTTCCATCCAAAATGCCCATAGAACTTTTCCACTGATATTGGCTCACTGCATTAAGGTAGCAGGTGACTGTTTTCCCACCTTGATAAACATGGATCATTTCTAGGTTCAGGTGCAAACATTGGGGTGGGTTGGGTTTTGGTCAAGGAATTGGAGAATTATTATTTCAATCACACATAAATTCATCCAATTTAATTTTTATGTTTTTAAGGAAAGATTAAGAACTGTAGCAGCAAGGAAATTCGAGATTGACGCACTGGTAAGCAATGGCAGACTTCAATTCCTCTACAGCTGAAGCAGTTTGGGCCTCCAAAATCGACTGCTCTTCATCAATCATCATATCGTTTTCAGCAGAAACATCAGTCTCGCCGCTAGTCCCCACTCTGCATAATCTCTTGGCTCGCACCAACGATTCCCTCCTCTCCTTCCCCACCGTAACCGCATTTTGCCGCCTCTTTTGCGCCGCAACAGTCCCAACTACAAAACCGAACTTCAATTAGCATTCCCCACCCCAACAATTGGTTAGCAATTAATTGAAAAACCTAGAATCAAAGAGGAGAAGAGGAAGAACCTGAGGACTTGATAGGGTCTCTTTTATGGGAAGCGAAGCTATCATCCGCCATTGTAGAGAAAGCTAGTAGTAGCTGTGCTCTGGATGGATGTAAAAGGAACTGAGGAGGAAGACTGTAAAACTCTCAAAACTCACGGATAGCAAGAAATCTTCTTTCTGTGTCGCCCTAACGCGAAAACTCGCCGCCTATTGATCCTTTCATTCACGTCTTGTTGAGGACTGTATCCGTTATTATTTAAGTTATGATATGGTGTACCCAAAAAAAGAAAAAGTAGTTTATATTTATTGGTGTTAATGTTAAAACTTTTCTTAAATTGTTACTTTTGATTTTTAGTTTTAGCTTTTAGTGATGGTAAATTTTATCAAAATTATTTTTTTTCTTAAAATAATTATTTTTTACTTTAAATTTATTTTAAATTAATTATTTTTTATTTTTTAGAATAGATTAATATTTTTTTCTTATTTTAACTATATAATCATCTATTTATTTTAATTAAGTATCTT